ATTAGACCCATAAGGGTGGGTTGTATATGCTGCCATGAATAATAGCCAGGAAAAGAAAATTACGGTAAGTATGAATACATTTTCCACTTTCCTGGCTAATCATGGCAGCATATACACATGGGATTAGCCAAGCTCATGGGGAGGGAAACAAGAGACATAATGAATGCAAAAATTTTTTATTTTTTATTAATGCAGATAAATCTACATATACATATTACGAGCGTCGAGAGGAGCGGACTGAATTAAGGACTTGATGACCAAAATGAGAGTCCACCGTAGCTCTAACATCCAGCTTATAATGGCGGATGAAAGTGTTCACTGAAGACCAAGTGCCAGCCTTACAAATCTCATCAGGAGAAGCATTTGCCACAGAAGCCCAAGATGCTGCGATAGCCCGAGTAGAGTGAGCTCTGACACCAGTAGGAATCGGCAGTGATAAGTATTTGTAAGAACATGAGATGGCCGAAACCACCCATTGTCTTAATGTAGAGGCAGCTTCACCCAGCCTGTGGCCAAAAGGCAATACAAATAGTCTGGGTGATCTGCGGAAGGGGCTGGTCTTCTCCAGGTAGATAGATAATGCCCGAACCACATCCAGAGTGTGCCAAACTTCTTCTTCAGGAGAAGAGGGATTTGGATAGAAGGATGGTAGAACAATTTCCTGGTTCAAGTGGAACTTAGATATCACTTTAGGTAAAAATTCCGGTACTGGTCTGAGGACTAAACTGTCCTGAAGTATCCTTGTATAAAGTGCTTCGCAGGATAATGCCTGGAGCTCACATATCCATTGTGCAGAAGTAACTACCACCAATAGGAGTACCTTTTGAGTGAGTACCAGCAAAGGAGCTTGGTCAAGTGGTTCAAAGGGAGACTTAGTCATGGCCTTCAAGACCAGAGGTAGGTCCCATGCCGGCAGAAATACATTCAGAGGAGGTCGGATCTTTATTGCCGCTTTAAGAAAATGGATGACCAATGTTCTAGTGCCCATCGGGTACCTGACAAAGCGGATAGAACTGATACCTGGAGTTTCAGAGTGTTGTAGCTAAAGCCTTTGTCCAGGCAGCCTGAAGGAAACAGAGCACGAAGATAATGCCAGAGGTTTAATCACCACCATTCATGTGCCCAGCAAACAAAGGTATGCCAAATCCTATAATATGTGGAGGAAGTGGATATCTTACGAGACCTCAGGAGAGTTTTAATGACTGCGTCAGGCATGCCAGCGTTCATCAGAGCTTCCCACTCAATCTCCAAGCCCTCAACTTGAGGGTTAGGGGGTTTGGGTGTAGCAGTGGTCCCTGGGATAGTAAATCTGCCTGCAACGGGAGTACCCTCGGAGGTTCCCGACTCATCCATCTCGCCATAGGGAACCAGGGTCGCCGGGACCAGAATGGGAGGATGGCGATGACCTCTACCTTCTCCTTCTGAATCTTCTTCAGAGTTGGGTATATGAGAGGTATAGGAGGGAACACATAGGCCAGAGTGAACCTCCAAGGTTGGGATAGAGCATCCTGCCCCCTGGCTCTGTGATCGACCAGTCTCGAGAAGAAGGCTTCGACCTGGGTATTCTGGGCCATTGCCATGAGGTTCCCCAAATCAAAGACAGCTCCTGGAATACTTCGGGGCTTAGATGCCACACACTCTTGTCTATGGTCACGCAGCTCAGGTAGTCTGCCATGGTATTCTGAATCCCAGGAAGGTGTACTGCAGAGATACCCTGAACATTTTTCTGGCACCAACTCATGATGGGCCGTAGTTCCTTCATCAACAGTTGGCTGCAAATACCGCCTTCATGAGAAACATAGGCCACAGCCGCCTGGTTGTCGGACTGGACTCGTATCCACCTGTTCTTCAGGATCCCCCTGAAGTGTATGAGAGCTCTGTGGATGGCCCGTAATTCCAAAACATTCCCCGGAAGAACCGACTCCTGTCTGTTCCATCGACCTTGAGTCATATGGTCCTGACAGTGGGCACCCCAACCATGAGCGCTGGAATCTGTTGTTAATAGGACCCAATCGGGTTCCATCAAAGGAAAACCTCTTTCCAAATTCACCCTTCTTAGCCACCAGAGCAGGTCCATTTTGACTACATGAGAGATCTTCAAGGGTTGATTGCAATCCATAACCCGCCGGTTGAACTGGTTCAGGAACAACCTCTGAGGAACTCTGAGATGCCACTGGGCCCAACTGACTAGTCCTATAGAAGAGGTCAGATTGCCCAGAAGTTGTGAGAGAAGGTCGTCCAGGTAATGGAACAGAGAGACTCCCTGAATCCTCAGCCTTTCTATAAGAATGACCAATACCTTTGAAAAGGTTCTGGGTGCTGTTCTCAGGCCAAATGGAAGCGCTCTGAATTGGAAGTGGTCTTCTCCTATAGCAAATCAGAGAAAATGATGATGTTCCTTGGCTATCGGGATGTGATAATAGGCGTCCCGTAGGTCGATAGATATGAGCCAATCTGCCTTCCGGATAGCTGGGGAGATGGATCTTATAGACTCCATCTTGAAGGATCTGATTAGAAGTCTCCTGTTGATCCTCCGTAGGTCCAGAATAGGTCTCCACTTGTCCTTGTCTTTCTGGACTAAGAACAGAGGTGAATAGTGCCCCTGGAATCGTTCCTCTTCTGGCACTGAAACAATGACCCTTTGGGACCTGAGGTTCTGAACTGAATCTCCCAGAGCCCTGCTTCTGCCTTCATCCTTGGGCAGACCTGTGGGAATGAAGAAGTTGCCCCTGGGTCTTCTGAGAAATTCCAATTTGTACCCTCTTTGAATTACAGGTAGTGCAGAATTATTAGGCAAATGAGTATTTTGACCACATCATCCTCTTTATGCATGTTGTCTTACTCCAAGCTGTATAGGCTCGAAAGCCTACTACCAATTAAGCATATTAGGTGATGTGCATCTCTGTAATGAGAAGGGGTGTGGTCTAATGACATCAACACCCTATATCAGGTGTGCATAATTATTAGGCAACTTTCTTTCCTTTGGCAAAATGGGTCAAAAGAAGGACTTGACAGGCTCAGAAAAGTCAAAAATAGTGAGATATCTTGCAGAGGGATGCAGCACTCTTAAAATTGCAAAGCTTCTGAAGCGTGATCATCGAACAATCAAGCGTTTCATTCAAAATAGTCAACAGGGTCGCAAGAAGCGTGTGGAAAAACCAAGGCGCAAAATAACTGCCCATGAACTGAGAAAAGTCAAGCGTGCAGCTGCCACGATGCCACTTGCCACCAGTTTGGCCATATTTCAGAGCTGCAACATCACTGGAGTGCCCAAAAGCACAAGGTGTGCAATACTCAGAGACATGGCCAAGGTAAGAAAGGCTGAAAGACGACCACCACTGAACAAGACACACAAGCTGAAACATCAAGACTGGGCCAAGAAATATCTCAAGACTGATTTTTCTAAGGTTTTATGGACTGATGAAATGAGAGTGAGTCTTGATGGGCCAGATGGATGGGCCCGTGGCTGGATTGGTAAAGGGCAGAGAGCTCCAGTCCGACTCAGACGCCAGCAAGGTGGAGGTGGAGTACTGGTTTGGGCTGGTATCATCAAAGATGAGCTTGTGGGGCCTTTTCGGGTTGAGGATGGAGTCAAGCTCAACTCCCAGTCATACTGCCAGTTCCTGGAAGACACCTTCTTCAAGCAGTGGTACAGGAAGAAGTCTGCATCCTTCAAGAAAAACATGATTTTCATGCAGGACAATGCTCCATCACACGCGTCCAAGTACTCCACAGCGTGGCTGGCAAGAAAGGGTATAAAAGAAGAAAATCTAATGACATGGCCTCCTTGTTCACCTGATCTGAACCCCATTGAGAACCTGTGGTCCATCATCAAATGTGAGATTTACAAGGAGGGAAAACAGTACACCTCTCTGAACAGTGTCTGGGAGGCTGTGGTTGCTGCTGCACGCAATGTTGATGGTGAACAGATCAAAACACTGACAGAATCCATGGATGGCAGGCTTTTGAGTGTCCTTGCAAAGAAAGGTGGCTATATTGGTCACTGATTTGTTTTTGTTTTGTTTTGAATGTCAGAAATGTATATTTGTGAATGTTGAGATGTTATATTGGTTTCACTGGTAATAATAAATAATTGAAATGGGTATATATTTGTTTTTTGTTAAGTTGCCTAATAATTATGCACAGTAATAGTACACACAGATATCCCCCTAACATAGCTAAAACTAAAAACAAACTAAAACTACTTCCAAAAATATTCAGCTTTGATATTAATGAGTTTTTTGGGTTCATTGAGAACATGGTTGTTGTTCAATAATAAAATTAATCCTCAAAAATACAACTTGCCTAATAATTCTGCACTCCCTGTATAGCTTTGACCCAGGCATCTTGTACGTCCTGTACCCAAACCTTCCAGAAGAGGGAAAGTCGGGCACCGACCTCTGACGGATAGTCAGAAGTTCTTGCCTCCACGAAAGGAAGGGTTTCTACCTCGGGAAGAACATGAAGCATATGATTGGCCCCCACGCCAATTATTACTCCTGTTGAACTCTCTACCTGGTCGGTAGCTACGAGCATCCCGAAAATATTGATCCCTCGGAGGTCGCTTATCTGACCAAGAGGAGCCTGGTCTCCTGGTTCTTTTCTCTTGGGGTAAAAAGACAAAAAGCTGGATGGCATCCAGTACCTCCCGCTGAATATATCTTGGAAAGATCAGAATACAATTTCTTATCCATTGGTTCCTGCAAGGAGGCTGCACTATCCAGTGGTAGACTAGTTCTCCTAGCAACCCTAGAGATGGTAGCATCAACTTTTGGAGGTGTCGTCCATTTCTTTGAAGTTTTCTCCTCCAAAGGGTAAAGCCTGGATAGCCTGCCCTGAAATGGAACCTTTTTATCAGGTTTTTCCCATTCTGCGGTAACCACCTCCTTAATTGCTCTGTGAAGAGGGAAGGAAGGCTTCTGCTTCCTAAGATCCGCAAAATGTTTATCAGAAACTTCAGGTTTAGGAAGATCTTCTGGTAATTCAAGGGTCTTTCTTACCTTCAGGATGAGGTTATCCACTGTCTTGGCGTCTAGATATTCCGACAAGACCTCTTCCTCGTTCTCACTAGAATAAATCTGATCGAGAACCTGAAACTTTTCAGCCAAATTCTGGTATTCTGAGACAGATGATTCTGAGGATACCAGTCTCTGTCTTGGTCTTTTCACGGACCGATTACTTGCCTCCATGGCCTCTGAGATGCCCTGAGCCACCTCCTATCTGATCCAAGTCAGGATATCTGGTGACTCTGGGTGTTACGGCTGCTGGAGTGGCCACCTTCTGCAAACAGTTTAAGCACAGCTGTTTGCCTTCCAATGCCTTCCCATCACATCCTGCACAGGGGTCTGACTTCTGTCTCCTCTTTCGTGGGGGAGATGATATAGACTGTTCTCCATTACTAAAAGTAATATAAGTAACTGTTAGTAGATGGAGAGTAAACCTCATTAACGTTATACATAAAATATATATGGAGTCCTACTCACCTGGATTCTGCTGAACAGGGTAAAGGGTTCCTACTAGTAGAGCTCATAATGGGCTAACTACAATAAAGAATTTAAAATAATTATTTTAGAATACACAAAACAAATTATCAAAAATAAAGGGATAAATGTTTATCAGAAACACACAAACCTGTGACAAAGAATAGAAATGATTCCAGAGTCTTAGCTTTTCTTTAAGATAATCCAATTCAAATTGTAAAATAACTGAATCCACAACAACCTCTTCGAGTTCCAGCTACTTTTAAATAGTACCTGCTATTCACTAACCTGTTTCTGGTGTTTTCTGCAAATTACCTGTAATTTTCGGGTTTTGCCCATAGTAAATATGGCCGCCGCGACTTTGCGACCTTACCCAGACTGCATTCTGGCGCCCATTGCACATGTGCGGGCGTTCTATCCGAGCTCCCGACCCGGGAGAACCGAGGACGGAAAGACAGGGACCTTAATTCCAGTTAGGACGACTCCTAAAGGTCTCAGGCAGTCCAGGACTGCCCTGGTAAGAATAAAAAATGGGTAAAAGGGGAATCACATACGAAGGAGATTGTAGGGATTAATTATATTATACACTGTGCACTTTACAGCACACTGCAATAGAAATGGTGAAAGGAGTAGAGTACTTAAAATTATAGAGGGAGCTTAAAAAAAAAAAAAAAAAGCTCCCTTCCTAAGGGCTGTAAGGACAGGAAAAAGTCTGAGGGTCTCTTCTCATGATCCTCCTTTTATAAGAATTTGTTTAAACCTGTCCTATTGGCTGTAAGGGGACGAGCTAACCCATGTGTATATGCTGCCATGATTAGCCAGGAAATAAATATATATATATATATATATATATATATATATATACACACACACACAGACACACACACAGACACACACACACATACATATCTATATGTAATATATATATATATATATTATATAAATAATGTCATACTAAGTGAATCTTTATATTTATATGCATATATTAATATAAAAATACACTTATAATTAAATTACACACGTGTATATATTATATATATATATATATATAAAAAGTTAATTTTATTTTGTATTTTGATATATATATATATATAGATATATATATATATATATATTTGTGCTCGGAATTTAAATACGTGATGGATAGTAACTGTGAGCAAAGTTGGTTGTGGTGTGCCGAAACCAACGTACGAGTGGGCCTGTAAATAAAAGAGGGCCCACCAAGGATAATGTAGTTAAAACAGGGTGTAGGTGGGTGGGGACAATCAGCTGAGCGGCAGCGGTGAGTAGGGGCTGGGAGCTTAAGTAGGGGACTTACTCCTCCCACAAATTCAGGCCTAATGGCCTTTCTACTTGTGCTCGGAATTTAAATACGTGATGGATAGTAACTGTGAGCAAAGTTGGTTGTGGTGTGCCGAAACCAACGTACGAGTGGGCCTGTAAATAAAAGAGGGCAAAAAGATAAATTCGAGAAAATACACACTTTATTGCATTTTACAAGACCAAGTTTCTGAAAGCTTGGCGAAGCTCTTTCTCTGGTTGCGGAATATATGCGTTATATATGGAGGATTTCCATCGCCCGAGCCTTTTGATGATGTGGACCGGTGCGTTTGTGCTTGAGGCTGCTGAGGCGGCTCCTATGCGGAAGGAGTGCCCGGAGAATGCAGCCGGATTGTGTCCGAGCTTAGATAACAGGGTTCTGACATGTGACATCAATTTTGCCGTGGTAAGCGGGTGCCCTTGTAATGTTAAGAGCGGAGAGTCTGGCAGGTGAGTGCGAAAAGTAGACCGTAGTTGGTCGAGAACTTTCACCGGACACCAGGCATTATCAGTAGGGAAGAGAGGAATTATTGTAGGATGTATTGACCGGTTGGTTTTAGTGGTAGGGATAGAGAGGAGGTAGTGATCCTCTACCTTGGTGAGGTGCGAAGTTTTAAGGCATTGTGCGATATCTCCTTGACAAATCACTGTGAACTCTCTAGGTCTGAGAAAACCGTAGAAAGCGAGATATATGGCAGATTTTATCACCATATTGGTGTAGCTATCAAATGGGGCTGTGTCAAGGAGATTGCTAAGAGACCTGAAGATAGGCCCGTCTATGGGTAATCTAGTGCTTGCGAGTGGTGGTGAAACCTTCGATATACCTTTCAAGACCTTTTTTATGGGGTATGAAGACAAAAAGGGGGTGTTGTTAGGAAAATTGGTGAGGCTGTGGTGCTGAACCCCGGTGAGGTAAAGTTTAATGGTGTTGTGTGACAGATTAAGGTGTAGGTGGCAGAAAGAGGCAAAAGACACCATGGTTTGGATGGAAAAGTCACCTTGTAGCCCGAATTCTGCAGTGAATTTATTAAATATGTTAAGTGCCCTATTGTAAGTGATAGCAGTGTTGGGTGATAATGCTTGGTGAGTGAGTGATCTAGCGTGAAGCAAGAGTGTGCTTAATCCAATATTAGTTCGTGAAACCGTGGTGTCCTGGATGGCTGATGGTGAGCTGCTGGGAGTGCCTGAGAAAATGCCTGGAATCGAGAACGAGAAAGAGCGTCAGCGGCGGTGTTGTGAATACCCGGGATGTGAGAACATACTAAGTGAAACTGATTGGATGCTGCCAGCCAGGTCAACTTGCGAATCAGCCGCATGATGGTTAGGGATGATGAGCGCCCTTTGTTAATAATATCGCAAGCTGCTGAGTTATCTGAGTAGCATTTTACTGCCTTGCCGGACCAGAGATGACCCCAGGTGTGTGCGGCCGCCACAATGGGGAAAATTTCAAATAGGGTTGAGGTTTCCCTGAATCCTGGCAAGGCATCCGTCTCAGTGGGCCAGTGGCCCCTAAACCAGTGGTTCCCGAAAATGGCTGCGAAACCGGTGTTGGCTGCTGCGTCTGTGTGGATGATGGGTGAAGAGGTGGAGAGAGGGGGGATAAACATGGAGATACCATTCCAGTCTTTCAAAAACTTCCCCCACATAGCCAAGTCAGCCTTGGCGTGGGGGTCCAAAGAAACTGTGCCGGAGTCCGGGACTCCATGGAGCAGGCAAAGAAGTCTGGAAATAAAAGACCTTCCCTGCGGAATGATGCGCATGGCGAAGTTCAGAGATCCAAGAAGGGACTGAAGTTCTCTCCTGGTGCAAACGTCATTCCGCAGGAACGTGTCTATCTCCCCTCTCAATCGTGAAAGTTTGTCGTGTGGAAGGCTAGCTCTGAGTTTGACAGAATCGAGCTCTATGCCTAAAAAGGTCAACTTTGTATAGTTTTGGCTGGGGACAAAGGGACTCCAAGTGTGGAAAAAAGTGCGGTAGTACTATTGATTGCTGTGGGTGTTGATGACCCTGGCTCTATCAGTAGAAAGTCATCTAGATAGTGAATAACGGAGTGACACCTGATGACATTCAGAAGCAGCCAGCATAGTGACTCAGCGAAAATGTCGAAAAGTTTGGGGCTGCTTCGGGAACCAAAAGTGAGTCGTGTTGAGAAGTAATAATACCCTCGCCATTTAACACCGTGTAAGTGCCAGAGTGAGGGGTGTATGGGCAGTAATTTAAAGGCGTTAGTGATGTCTGTTTTGCTGAGCCAGGGTCGATTACCAGATGTCATGATAGACTGTATAGCGTCGTCGATGGTGACGTACTGCAGAGAGAATTCGTCTGCTGGAATGAGTGCGTTTATGCTTGGAACAAAAGAGGAGTGCGGTGCCGATAAATCGATAATGAGACGTTTTTTATTAGAATATTTGTGAATAGCAATACCAATAGGGTTAGTGCGCCAGGAGGAAAACGGTGAAGAGGTGAAAGGACCGATCATGAAACCGTTTGTGGTTTCTGCGGAAATGAGAGTGTCTACAGCGACTGGGTCTAAACGTGCAGACTGGAGATTAGGACATTCTAGTGTACCTGGGGGAATGGCTATTATGCCTGTGTGAAACCCTTGTGAAAAACCTGTGGTGAGAAAATCCACTAAGTGCCTGCTGGGGTGACACCTTAGATAAAAAACCAGGTTGTCGATATTTATGTCGGTTAGTCATTTGTTTGGTGACAACCTGGCTGGACACATGGTCTTGGTATGTGCCCTGAAACATATGGAGCAGATGTGCAATAGTCTACAGGCGCTGAAACTGCAGGAGCCTGCGTTGAAATTATTGCACACCTGTGCTTTACCTAAAAAGGAGATGGGCCTACCCAGCTTATCCCGGAGACCACCCGCTGGCTTGTGAGGGGTGAAAGAGGAGTGAGGTGTGAACGTGGGGTGAGGGGTGAGAGTGGAGGTGGTGGGATCTGGTTCGACGGGACATAAGTCCGCCATGTGGGATGTGGAATTACAGATGGCACAAGCCGGGGGCCTGAGTCCGGCGAAGTGGCGACAGAAAAGTTCAGTGTCCATCTGACCCCAGTTCATTCTAATGTTGAACTGTTTGAGATGGGTCGCCGCCTTCGCTGAGACTGACTTGTGGTAGTCATAGAAGGAAGAGCCCCCGTACTTGATGCCTAGATCCACTACCTTGTGGAGATAGAGATCTAGCTCTTCTCTCCTATGGGGATACACCGTGCAAATGACGTCGCGGTATATCCCGAAAGCTATCACAAACTGTGGGATAGACAATTTTTTATTAAGCCTGGGATCCCTCGTTTTAAGCACAACAGAGATGTCACCATGATTGTATGCCTTGTTCTCGAGTACATCCTGAGAGGCTATGAGTAAAGACACCAGACACACA